AAAAAGTCGTAACTTCCTTATTATTACAGATGGATGGACGTTGCATGTAGAAAATGAAAATTCACAATGTTAGCATAAACTTAACATATTAAACTCATTTCTGACAAAAATGGACTTAACCTAGTCTAGCTCAGGTGCAGTTAACCACTTTGATGCAGAAAAAACCGAGAGCAGGAAAACACATCGCTCGCCCATGTCGTAGCGGTCGTTGTCAATTCAAAGAGATGTCGCGCTTGCATGGACGTTTCATTCTTAATGTAGGAGCACCTGATCGCCAAAAAATCAAGTTGGAGAAATTATTTTTTCTGGGTGTAACACTTCTAATGTCGCTGAGTATACAGGGTGTTTCACAACTTATCAAATTTGAACCACATTTGTCTGATATTATTTTTCATACATTTTCAAGTTTCAATAAAAGATTTAGATGAACAAAAATGGACGTATTTTATTTCATTTCACAAATATTCAAGATACAAACCAGTCAGTTACATATCCGCCACCCTGTATAATACCTGGGGCGGTTAAAAAGCTATCCATATTTATTTGTTGTTGAGCAACGTTTCACGCCCTTGGTACGTAAATAACTATTATCTCTCTTTGCGTAATTTAACAAATAACTTTAATGCTGGAGTTATCTTTTCCACATGTTTTGCATATTTACAAATAGTCGAATGAAGTTCTGGATTACAAGGGTGAAGAAAATGCCATTTTATTACGAACTATTTAATCCCGATTTCGCCATGTTCACACAGTTTCTGCTAAAAAATATATATGTACCTCAGACTGGGTTAAGTGCAAATAAGTAGTTTTGAGATAATTGTATTTTAAATATTTTTCTTGCATGCGACTTGACATGAGTTAAAAAGTCGTAACTTCCTTATTATTACAGATGGATGGACGTTGCATGTAGAAAATGAAAATTCACAATGTTAGCATAAGCTTAACATATTAAACTCATTTCTGACAAAAATGGACTTAACCTAGTCTAGCTCAGGTGCAATTAACCACTTTGATGCAGAAAAAACCGAGAGCAGGAAAACACACCGTACGCCCATGTCGTAGCGGTCGTTGTCAATTCAAAGAGATGTCGCGCTTGCATGGGCGTTTCATTCTTAATGTAGGAGCACCTGATCGCCAAAAAATCAAGTTGGAGAAATTATTTTTTCTGGGTGTAACACTTCTAATGTCGCTGAGTATACAGGGTGTTTCACAACTTATCAAATTTGAACCACATTTGTCTGATATTATTTTTCATACATTTTCAAGTTTCAATAAAAGATTTAGATGAACAAAAATGGACGTATTTTATTTCATTTCACAAATATTCAAGATACAAACCAGTCAGTTACATATCCGCCACCCTGTATAATAATACCTGGGGCGTTAAAAAAGCTATCCATATTTATTTGTTGTTGAGAAACGTTTCACGCCCTTGGTACGTAAATAACTATTATCTCTCTTTGCGTAATTTAACAAATAACTTTAATGCTGGAGTTATCTTTTCCACATGTTTTTCATATTTACAAATAGTCGAATGAAGTTCTGGATTACAAGAGTAAAGAAAATGCCATTTTATTACGAACTATTTAATCCCGATTTCACCATGTTCACACAGTTTCCGCAAAAAAATATATATGTACCTCAGACTAGGTTAAGTACAAATAAGTAGTTTTGAGATAATTGTATTTTAAATATTTTCCTTTCATGCGACTTGACATGAGTTAAAAAGTCGTAACTTCCAGATAGATGGACGTTGCATGTAGAAAATGAAAATTCACAATGTTAGCATAAGCTTAACATATTAAACTCATTACTGACAAAAATGGACTTAACCTAGTCTAGCTCAGGTGCAGTTAACCACTTTGATGCAGAAAAAACCGAGAGCAGGAAAACACATCGCACGCCCATGTCGTAGCGGTCGTTGTCAATTCAAAGAGATGTCGCGCTTGCATGGGCGTTTCATTCTTAATGTAGGAGTACCTGATTGCCAAAAAATCAAGTTGGAGAAATTATTTTTTCTGGGTGTAACACTTCTAATGTCGCTGAGCATACAGGGTGTTTCACAACTTATCAAATTTAAACCACATTTGTCTGATATTATTTTTCATACATTTTCAAGTTTCAATAAAAGATTTAGATGAACAAAAATGGACGTATTTTATTTCATTTCACAAATATTCAAGATACAAACCAGTCAGTTACATATCCGTGTATAATAGTTGGGGCGGTAAAAAAACTATCCATATTTGTTTGTTGTTGAGCAACCTTTCACGCCCTTGGTACGTAAATAACTATTATCTCTCTTTGCGTAATTTAACAACTAACTTTAATGCTGGAGTTATCTTTTCCACATGTTTTTCATATTTACAAATAGTCGAATGAAGTTCTGGATTACAAGGGTAAAGAAAATGCCATTTTATTACGAACTATTTAATCCCGATTTCACCATGTTCATACAGTTTCTGCAAAAAAAATATATATGCACCTCAGACTGGGTTAAGTGCAAATAAGTAGTTTTGAGATAATTGTATTTTAAATATTTTTCTTGCACGCGACTTGACATGAGTTAAAAAGTCGTAACTTCCTTATTATTACAGATGGATGGACGTTGCATGTAGAAAATGAAAATTCACAATGTTAGCATAAGCTTAACATATTAAACTCATTTCTGACAAAAATGGACTTAACCTAGTCTAGCTCAGGTGCAGTTAACCACTTTGATGCAGAAAAAACCGAGAGCAGGAAAACACATCGCACGCCCATGTCGTAGCGGTCGTTGTCAATTCAAAGAGATGTCGCGCTTGCATGGGCGTTTCATTCTTAATGTAGGAGCACCTGATTGCCAAAAAATCAAGTTGGAGAAATTATTTTTTCTGGGTGTAACACTTGTCGCTGAGTATACAGGGTGTTTCACAACTTATCCGACAAATTTAAACCACATATGCACTGTTACGAAAAAAGTTGAGGCTAACGCAAGAAACCTCTCTACATCAAGTTGATACTGCTTGTGGTTTTCAGGTGTTAATCGTTGCCTGAATCTACTAAATTAAAACAGGCATTGAAAATCCTAGCGCCATCTACGAGACGGTAGAGCCAAACTCACTATTCAAACTAGATTTCCAACTTCATTTTTGTATTATTGTATTATCTCATTATTGGACTCCGAAATACAGTATACAGATCAGGAACCAATGATTTTACTTTCTGGAAATAATGAGCAAGACTAAGCAAGACATTTTAATTACAAAATTACACATTCATTGATCATACTCGTAACGGAGATTTCTTCTTCTTCGTTAATCCAACGGTACCAAATCCCTATCCCGCTTCTGAAACACCTTGACCGTCTGAAACGGCAATGTCGCAATAAACTCGGCAGCACAGTTAGGCTGATGATTATGGTCATTGCTGATTACAGCCATGTTTTTCGATGTTGTCACTCTAGCTTTGCATCCCGTCTTGCGGTATTTCGTGCAAATCCATATCGTTTTGGTGGGCATTTTGGCGTTGATGTTGAACGAGTTTCCGAAAAGGATTATGTTGACAGTGCTGCGAGATTTCGATTGGTGGAAGTAGATCCTGCTCGTACCTGAAATGATCGCATTTTACTGTTGCCCCTACCTTCAATATTCACTTGTCAGTGGATTGTCTTATACATCGATATTTACTGACATGTTGGCTACATGGTCAATAAATATCACATTTCTTGGTATACTTAGTGGAAAAAAACACACAAGCTATTCGGTGGAATTGAGACGCATTATTCCACAATTTTAGTCAGAGAATTGATTGAAGGATATTATTTACAAAGCAACTCCCATATTTATACATTCTGATGATATAAACAAACATGCTTTTTTATGTGGGTTTTATTTAAAATAAAATCCCGAAGTTATATAATACTTTAGATATACAATATTTTTTAGATAGTCAAATTAGGTAAAATGTTGAGTGCAATTATAGAATTTTTGAATATAAATGAAACACAACAATTCCAAGTAACAAAAATAATAAATATATCCTGTAATGTTCCCAACACCTTGGTACAAAAATACATAATACATGAAACTAATGAAACATACGAATAATTTAAAATACAAAAAAGCTGTAATGTAATGCAAGTTATATCTTTTGTTATTAAGTACAAGTCTATTCTATGTAATAAAATAGCTCTAGTGTCGTTTGATTTTTATAGCAACCCTTAGTTATTGGATACTGATGATTTGTAGTGATACTGTAGAGAAACTTGTAATGTGCAATGTGTGCCCCGCCCCTCCCAACCAACTTTCTTCAACCCCGCCCGTGGATGCAAACTCTACTATGATTCACTTGTAGTACCTATGTGTGTTATTCCACAATTTTAGTCTGATAATTGATTGAAGGATATTATTTACAAAGCAACGCCCATATTTATACATTCTGATGATATAAACAAACATGCTTTTTTATGTTGGTTTTATTTAAAATAAAATCCCGAAGTTATATGATACTTTAGATATACAATATCTTTTAGATAGTCAAATTAGGTAAAATGTTGAGTGCAATTATAGAATTTTTGAATATGAAAGAAACACAACAATTCCAAGTAACAAAAATAATAAATATATCCTGCAATGTTCCCAACACCTTGGTACAAAAATACATGATACATGAAACTAATGAAACATACAATTAATTTAAAATACAAAAAAGCTGTAATGTAATGCAAGTTATATCTTTTGTTATTAAGTACAAGTCTATTTTATGTAATAAAATAGCTCTAGTGTCGTTCGATTTTTATAGCAACCCTTAGTTATTGGATACTGATGATTTGTAGTGATACTGTAGAGAAACTTGCAATGTGCAAAGTGTGCCCCGCCCCTCCCAACCAACTTTTTTCAACCCCGCCCGTGGATGCAATCTCTATTATGATTCACTTGTAGTAGCTATGTGTGTTGTCTAAACGTCGCGCTGTCGGTGTGATGTTTTTGCAGATTGTTCAAGCAAAATTAGAGGCAATGCTCTAGAAATACTGTCATTGTTTTTCGAACCGCCCTATATATCCAATAACTAAGACGAAGCAACTTTGTTCCGTTCAAAGATTATCGTAATTGTTATAGGTAGCAGCTCTCTTGATAGTGACAGTCTGTGACAGTGAATAATTGCCGCTCCTCCTTCTGCAAGTAGGCGTATGATTGTGCATCCCCACCAGAGTCGCTTGTCTTGCGGACGTAACGACTTTCGCTTTACATCTGTCCTTCTTGTGGTACTGCGTGCACGACCAAACCGTTTTGTCCGGCAGTTTGCGGTAGATGAGGTAGTCGTTGTTTCGCAGGATGATTTTCGGGTTTTTGTGGCCCATTTCGAAATAGATCGTATCTAAAATTACATAAAACGGTATTACTGATACTAGTCAAGTTCAAAATGTTATCTTGCGATACATAAATATGGAACAGAAGAGCACGCGTCCAGCTGAAAACGTGTACCTACTTTAATAATAATAATAATGCATTTATTGTCCAACAGTGCAAAAACAGTAAGATACCTTACGCCATAGTTACAGCACAAAATATAGGACAATCAATTTTCGATATCTAGGTTTTTCAAAGACTGATAATCAAATCTCTGTAGCTGTTAGCTAGGATAACAACCTCTTGGTGGGTACATAGCATTGGAGTTAAAGCCTACGAATTCTTCGTGCTTTTTCAATAGCAACGATGAACTGGGACACATATTTATTTGTTGTTGAGCAACGTTTCACGTCCTTGGTACGTAAATAACTATTATCTCTCTTTGGGTAATTTAACAAATAACATTAATGCTGGAGTTACCTTTTCCACATGTTTTTCATATTTACAAATAGTCGAATGAAGTTCTGGATTACGAGGGTAAAGAAAATGCCATTTTATTACGAACTATTTAATCCCGATTTCACAATATTCACACAGTTTCTGCGAAAAAATATATCTGTACCTCAGACTAGGTTAAGGACAAATAAGTAGTTTTGAGATAATTGTATTTGAAATATTTTTCTTGCACGCGACTTGACATGAGCTAAAAAGTCGTAACTTTCTTATTATTACAGACTAATGGACGATGCATGTAGCAAACGACAATTCACAATATCAGCATCAGCTTAATATAAATCCGAACACCCAGTTTAAATGGTTTTATTTTAATAAAAGTTGGTGAATGTATTTATCTTACTGTAAATAACAAGTGAAAAAATTTTCAGCCTTATCAGTTGGACAATCCGGTTTTTATACTGCTTTTTTTTTAATTCACTAACGCTCTAAAAATGAATATTTCAGCCGCAGTAAAGAATCAACGTTGGCGGATGTTGGTTCTTGACATCCTTTACGATCGGTTACGATGCCTAGAGTACGGAGACCTGTACGATTTCGTCAACTTAGTGAGTTTGATAGGGGCCGTATAGTGGGACTTCGGGAAGCTGGACTTTCTTTTCGGGCAACTGCAGTTAGAGTGCAAAGAAGTGTAGACACTGTGGTTAGGTGATGTCAGGCATGGCTTCGAGAAGGCCGTACGTAAAGAGCAAGGGGCGCTGGACGCCGCCGTAGACCAACAGACCGTGAAGATCGCCGCCTAAGATTATTGGCCTTAAGGGACCGTTTCTCCACTACCAGGTCCATTGCAAATGAATGGTTTGCAGAACACGGAAGACCTATTGGCATGCGAAGTGTTTACCGACGAATGAGAAGTTTTGGCTTGTTTTCATACCGGCCACACTGGGTCCCTTTAACTCGAGAACACCTACGTAATCGCCTTGAGTGGTGCAGACAATGGTCACTCTGGGATCAGGAATGGAACAGTATTGTCTTTAGTGACGAGTCTCGATTTTGTTTAGGCATGCACGATGGTCGTGCCAGGGTTAGAAGGCGACGTGGTGAAAGGAGGAATCCACAGTTTTTTGTTGAAGACATGTTCATCACACTGTTGGAGTTATGGTTTGGGGTGCTATAGCTTATGGTTCCAGGTCACCTTTAATCTTCATCAGAGGTAACATGAACGCGCAGCGTTATATCCACGAAGTTCTAGAACCCCATCTTTTACCCTATCTTGACACCCTGGCAAATCCAACTTTCCAACATGATAATGCCCGACCACATGTTGCAAGAGTCACAATAGACTTCTTTCAACATAATGATGTCACATTGTTACCATGGCCACCAAGATCTCCCGACTTATCCCCAATTGAGCACGTGTGGGATATGATGGGTAGGAGATTGCTCAATTTGCAACGTCCTCCTCAGACTCTAGAAGCACTTCGAGAGGAGTTGGTGGTTGCCTGGAATGAGATACCACAGGAGGACATTGACCACCTGATCAGAAGCATGCCTAGGCGCGTTGGAGAATGCGTAGCACATCACGGTGCATCCACACATTATTAAAGGTCAAAGGGCTTTAAAGCAGTGCAATCATTATGAAATTTTTATCATTTACTTATTACGCTTCATTAAGTACTTATACAAAATTTTATTAAAATAAAACCATTTAAACTGGGTGTTCGGATTTATATGTCACTTAGTATATATTAAACTCATTTCTGACATAAATGAACTCAACCTACTCTAGCTCTGAAGTGCAGATATAAACAGACAGTTAACTTATCTATTCTTCTTTCCAACAATACGAGGGGGTCCGATAAGTGCTTAGCCTACAAAAGAAAAACGAACGTTTTGGAAATGTGGCGGATTTCACAATATTCACACAGTTTCTGCAAAAAAATATATCTGTACCTCAGACTACTATAGGTTAAGGTCAAATAAGTAGTTTTGAGACTATTATATTTGAAATATTTTTCTTGCACGCGACTTGATACGAGTTGAAAAGTCGTAAGTTTCTTATTATTACAGATGGATGGACGCTGCATGTAGCAAACGAAAATTCACAATATTAGCATCAGCTTAACATATTAAACTCATTTCTGATAAAAATGGACTTGACCTAGTCTAGCTCTGGAGTGCAGATATAAACGGTACACACAGTTAACTTATTTATTCTTCTTTCCCACAATACGAACATTTTGGAAAAGTGACAATTTGCTTGTTACCATGGTCACGAAGCGACGCAGAAACTCCTGCGGTTTGTGGAGTGGTCACACGGTTGCGTTTGTTGTCCGCAGTGAGCAAACGCGGCACCACCCATCGCGCAGACAGCTTTCTCACACATAATAAATCGCACGCGGTCTTCTGATATGCCTACTGTCTCCGATAACTCGCGCACTTCCGATCGGCGGTCTGCCAATACGAGATCGTGGCCTTTGGTCACGTTACGCTCCGCGATACCGTGATAGGCGTTTTCGGAGCACCTGGGCGTGGCTTATCGTGAAGCGACATACGACCAGTGTTGCCAAAAGTAGCGGAATTCCACTACTGGTAGCGGAATTTTAAAGTGGTAGCGGCGGAATTGGATTTTTTTGTTAAAAGTAGCAGAATTTTGCAATTTAGGTACGCATGACGGATATTTTTAACAGCAAAAAAAAAATTAAGTGCAGTTATTAACTAAATCTAAATACAGATATCTTTCCAATCGACAGTGGTAACCACCGGTCGGTAATTCTTATTCAATGGAGACACGTATACATGGAACAAAACCTGTGAAGTGTATTTCCAGAGTATGTCTAATAATTTTAACATTTGCCACATGTTAATGCAGGTGTCGAGTGGACATTCTCATATATGGAGATAATCGATAATCAAAACAAAGAAAAGGAATCGTATTTTACCTTCAACTTTGCTCGCGATACTTATCAAACTGGATACAATACATAAAAATGTTGCTGCTTAGACTTCGAGTTTGGTGAAAAACATTTAAAAAAATACAAAAATAATTTATATAGTATAGAGAGAACATAAATGCAACAAGAAGAATCTGATACAGACAGTGACTGAGTTTAATTTTTTAATTTTTTTATGCAAACAGAAATGGCCTTTAGTCATATGCTTTTTGTTATTTTGTTTCCTGTGATATTTTTTTAATATGACTGCGTGATAAATGTTCTGTTGTTTGACAGTTATTTGTAATATTGTATTGGTTTTTATAGTTAAATGTTTTTTTTTATTACAGTTTCTTATGTTATATTTTATCACGCTGTTTGGTTTTAGTTTTTCTTTTTTGACACAACCTGTATACTACATGCCCCCTGTTTTATGATGCGAATCCCCCCCCCCCCCGGCGATAACCCCCCCGGGTAGCGGAGTTTTTCGATATTAATAGCGGAATTTTCAATGTGGGCTCTGGCAACACTGCATACGACCACGTCAAGGAGGCGAGTTACCGTACGCATCATCCAAGCGCTATTTGGTTTCGCTGCGCGATTTCCCTTCCAAATGCAAAACGCACGATCAAAACAAAACTAGTCGGATTAGGCAAAAATTTGTACGGTAACCGTCAGCGAGCATGTACTACACAATAGTAAGTTTCTCTTGCCATCGGGCGGTGAGCAAAGTACTTATCGGACTGCACTCGTAAGTATTACCGAACGGTCATTGGTACTTAACCAGATCAAGCAGTTCGCGGTTATGCAACATTTTTTCTTCAATTTGTACGGATGACTACTAGAGAGTCTGCGTTAGTAGCTAGAAATTACGTGTTAGACATAAATAACTCCTTGACATATAGTAGATATTTATTAAATATAATTATATAATATTTAGGATTACCTCTTGAGGATTCTATAGCCATAACCAAGGCATTTATCTTCTATACAGGGTGTTTCAGTTTATTGTTGCATAACTTTAAGATTCGATAGAACTTTTAAAATTAATGCATAAAGTCTATATAAACATGGGTCGAAAAATGCGTGGCTTCCGAAATACAGGGTGTTTAAATTTACTTTCTAAAATAGTTTTTTTTAAATACTTCGAACAATATTTGATGTATAACAGTGAAAATTGGTATACAAGGGTTTTTTGGTACGACAAAACGAACCATGAGCATAGTTTTACTGTAGCTGGTAGAGGGCGCTCTCTACTGTACCTGTAGTGTATTAAAATGACCGAAAAAATTTTCTTAGTGCAATTTTTTTATTTTTGAATAAAAAAACTGATTCTTCGCACTTTTCTGCATAAAAAAGCTCTCCTGTGACTTTTCGTTATAGTTAGCCGTTTTTGAGATATTATCGATTTTTAAGGTTCGATGCATTTTTAATTATTCATGATAAAATAACGTTAAAAAGTCAGTATCTCGATAATTTTTAGAAGTAGGCTGTGCCTGCAAATATTTTTGAAATTGAAAGCAGTATAAGGTTAAACGTCAATTAGTTGACAGTTAGTTTTATTGTCTGTTGAAACCTGAAACGTTTTTTTTGCAATTGTGAATGCACGAAATTTAGTTCCTTTTGACCTTTATGCATTAATTTTAAAAGTTCTATCGAATCTTAAAGTTATGCAACAATAAACTGAAACACCCTATATACTACTATTTGTAGTTATATACAATACGGTGAAAAAAAAAGTTTCCGATACCCCACGTATGTGTCGCATGAAGTAGACTAACGCCATTCTTTTCACTCTGATATGAATCCGTTTTTCCACAATGTTTGATAACGGATTATAATAGCTCTTGATACGTACTTATATACTATATAATATTACGAAATCAAGTAACCTCATTAAATTAAGTACATTATATTATACTCCAAGAATAATTCTCGTAGATATTGTATAGATAACAAATGATCTTGAAAATGACCTTCAACGTCTCCTAGAGGTCAACTTGACAATGTTAAATGGAATGAAAATTTTACGTTCCGATAATGACCTTGCCCTCCAAGGTCAGTTAGAGATGAATCTATAATAGGAAATGGTACATTTATGACCCCGCAGATGAAAAAGGCGTTCTGAAATGACTTTGAGCTAAGAGCGATTGAAGGGTCAAATCACTTCAAGGTCAAAATCCATCCTGTGAATCATAAATCACGGTCTTATTTTTCGTTTTATTCATTGGTGTCGTTGAAAAGAAACGAATTACATTTAATATTTCGAAGTTGACCTTGAAACCTATCAAGGTCATCACAGAACATAAAATTCGAGGGCTTAAAAATTATGATTTCTTTTAAAATTCTCAAGTTGACCAGAACGTGAGCTTATATAAACCTAAAGTTTGACCCAAACCGCGAAAAGCTAATGCTAGAAAACTTGACCCAACCGAGAGTAAAACTATATCTGCATATGTAGCTATTTCTCAAGCACCCTGACAATGACGTTCTGAGATCGCAAATTGGAGAACCTATTTTTGAAGTTGGGCTGATGATTGTGTTCTCCGTCGATGACAGCTTCCTTACCACACGTGATCACTTTGACCTTGCAGCAGTTCTTCCTATAATAGTGACTGCAAAGCCAATTAGTCTTGCCTGGGGTGCGTCGATAGAACAGGTAGTCGAAACCGTTCAAAATTATTTTTGGGTTTTTCAGGCCAACGTCGAAGTAGATCACGCCTGAAACGACACTAGGCAACTCAAAAATATAAGAATTAAATGAAATAATAAGACCACAGGCAGGTATATCCTGACTGTAAACAGAAAACTTTGAAAAGAAAATTTATTAAATAATGTTCTTTTAATGATAAATATCTAAGAAATATGAGATGCAAATAAAGCAGTGTTTTATTTATCGAGTAAGAATGATGTTTCGGTTATCGTTCCGGATCGCAATAATATTTATTTTTTAAGTTGTTAGAGCCAAATGGAAAAAATAGAGGATATGCGTATCTCAATTCGTACAAAAATTTGTATGTATTATTTATTACTAACACAAAATATGTGATTTCATATCATGACCATGACGTTTTCAAATTATTTTACAAATAGTTTGAAATATCTTTTAGCCTATTTTCAAACTGATATGTATCCTATAAGCATAAATATAGATCGTACGTTAACGAGAACATTTTCACGGCGGTAAGACATAACTAAAAAACGTATGTCTTTGAGTTTAAATAAAGGTCCAGGCAAAGGGGGGACTTGCATACGAAGACCTTGAAAAGATCTATGAGTGCCCTTTTTATTTACCTTAGGGAGAAATGTGGTCAATAACGCGGATTTTTCAGGTTGTTAGTAAGAAAAAGACTATGGTCTTAACAACGATATATGTACAGATTTGTGATACACAGCCTCATGGTTGATGTACGATAGTGACCATTTGTGACAACATATTTTTATATTTATCCTTCCTAGGTCTGGGTTGTTGATAATTTATCCCTTGGTAGTAAAAGAAAACCATTTTCTTAATAACGATACATGAACAGATTTGTGATACGCTCATGGTTGACGTACGATAGTGACCATTTGTGACAACACATTCTTATATTTATCCTTCCTAGGTCTGGGTTGATGATTAAGTAGGTATTCCTTGGTAGTAAAAGAAAACCATTTTCTTAATAACGATACATGAACAGATTTGTGATACGCTCATGGTTGACGTACGATAGTGACCATTTGTGACAAGATATTCTCATATTTATCCTTCCTAGCTCTGGGTTGATGATTAAGTATCCCTTGGTAGTAAGAAAAAACTATTTTTTAACAACGATATATGTGCAGATTTGTAATGCCCAAGCTCATGCTTGACGTACGATAGCGACCATTTGTGACAAGATATTCTCATATTTATCCTTCCTAGCTCTGGGTTGATGATTAAGTATCCCTTGGTAGTAAGAAAAAACTATTTTTTTAACAACGATACATGTACAGATTTGTGATACACAACCTCATGATTGACGTACGATAGTGACCATTTGTGACCACGTATTCTTATATGTATCCTTGCTAGTTCTGAGTTGATGATTAAGTATCCCTTGGAAGTAAGAAAAAACTATATTTTAACAACGATATATGTAGAGATTTGTGATACACAAGCTCATGGTTGACGTATGATAGTGACCATTTGTGACAACATATTCTTATATTTATCCTTCCTAGCTCTAGGTTGATGATACTGTATCCCTTGGTAGTAAAAGAAAACCATTTTCTTAATGACGATACATGTAACAGATTTGTGATACACAACCTCATGATTGACGCACGATAGTGACCATTTGTGACACCATATTCTTATTTTTATCCTTCCTAGGTCTGGGTTGATGATTAAGTATCCCTTGGTAGTAAAAAAAAATATTATCTTAATAACGATACATGTACAGATTTGTGATACGATAGTGACCATTTGTGACCACATATTCTCATATTTATCCTTCCTAGCTCTGGGTTGATGATACTTTATCCCTTGGTAGTAAGAGAAAACAATTTTCTTAATAACGATACATGTAACAGATTTGTGATACACAAGCTCATGGTTGGTATACGATAGTGACCATTTGTGACAACATATTCTTATATTTATCCTTCCTAGCTCAGGGTTGATGATTAAGTATCCCTTGGTAGTAAGAAAAAACTATTTTTTAACAACGATATATGTACAGATTTGTGATACACAACCTCATGGTTGACGTACGATGGTGACCATTTGTGACAACATATTCTTATATTTATCCTTTCTCGGTCTGGGTTGATGATTATGTATCCCTTTGACGTAAGCAACCCTTCCACTGGTTTCTATCCTATTTTTACACCTAAATTCTATCTCGTTGATGTAATAGTGGCTGCACAGCCACACAGTTTTTCCCGGTAACTTCCTGTACAATCTGTAGTCGTGGTCGTCTAGCATTATTTTCGGATTTTTGATGCCCATGTCAAAATAGATCAGACCTACAAAACGACGGTTGACAAAACACCAGTTTATTTGTGATTATCGCCAAAACCATTGAGAGCCTAAAGAGGTACTAGAAAGTGCGCCGAAATCAATTCAGCTCTCGAAAAAGATACTACTCAAAAAATTTATAATCCAAAATTTTTGGTGCTGCATTTTGGTGAAAAATGGAAGTATCATGATTTTGAAAAAAGCATTTGGATTAAAGATTCTAGTTTTAAGGTTTCTATCCGAATAATTTAAGCAATTATTCTCATTCAATTCTAACAGTTGTCGCAAGGAAAAGTTTTTGAAAAGAGAACTGAAAACTAGAATCTTAACGCCTCAAAATGCTTTTAATAAGTTTAAATACGACCATTTTTACCGAAATGAAACCTGCCAAAAATCACCGAAAATTTTGGAGTTTTTCTTGCTCCCTTATTTTTTTGTCTACTGTATTTCTCTCTCTTTTCTATTAATCGCTTCCTAGAATGAAAATATTTCGACGTTGGACGAGCTGCTGTTTTAGCAAACCGCCATCTTACGTTTTAAATTTTATTTTACCCGATAGTTATGGAAATAACATGTAAATAATGGATCAGTATTTTGTATTGTGATCTGTACATTTGATGTTGCACGTTTATTGATGTTTCTTCTCGTTCTGAAGGCGATTTCGACGTTGCAGGTATTTCTTTATTGATATTGTAAGGAGTAATTATTTTTCAAGGCGCACTTTAAGCATATTCAAAATCTTGTGACAGGTTTGGCAGTCAGTTGATCATAGGTTGGCTCTACATATAAAAAAGAAGGTTCCTTCATCAATTCGCACTTTACCACAAAATACTAAATAAATCGTTATTTTTTTCGATTAAATCTAGATATGTTTTATTTTATAACACTAGTGCGCTTTTTGTTTTAAAAATAAAATACTGTAAGCTGAATACAGTTTCAAGTTGATATAATTATACAGTATTTTGAATAGTACAATCAAACTAATTTAAAATCAGTTTAAAATTACAACCATCATTGATGACATAATATATGGTACAACTTAAATCTAAATTACACCACAAATACATACATAATCAAAACAAAAAACGATAGCCGCTTTTAATATCTCGATGCGATCATTTGGCGCTGAGATATTTGACTATGTTATAAAAATGTTTAATCATCATGGTACAAATAATGAATTGGAACTTTTAAAAACAAATATCTCGAAAACTATCAGCTTCAGACACTTCTAACAAGTCACCCTTTTTTGTCGTGAAGATACGAGAAAATAAGATTTTTCGGTCAGTTGTTGTATACAGGGTAGCACAAAAAAGTTATGATAAGGATGATAAGGAACATTCGTCGGAAAAGCAAATGTTGAATAGAAAATGTTCATCGTTTATAATTCGTTCACTCATACCTTCACAAAATTGTAATAATAATAATTGTAATGTTATACGGATGAATACTTTATACTATAAACGATGCTTCAGTGCCTAACAATGGTGACGTTTTGCGACAGCATATTCTTGTACTTCTCCGTTTTATGCTTCGGGTTGTGAGTGTGGGTGCCGAACACCTGCACGACCCTACCGCTTGTGATTAGCTTGACCTTGCATCTGACTTCGCGCTTGTTGAAGTAGTGGTTGCACATCCAGGTGGTTTGATTCACTTCTCTCCTGTAGATCAGGAACTCATGGTCGTCCAGGATGATTTTGGGGTTCTTCATGCCCACGTCGAAGTAGATCAGACCTACAATTGAATCGAGTAAATACCCACAAAAAATAGAGAAAGCGGGTAACACTCCAAACCTGTCAATCGCTACGCGAACATTCTAAGCCTATCCGAAAACAAGATAGCGTAAAACCAAACAAACACGTTGACAAGAGATCAAATACAGGTGGATAACATTTAGCTTGGAAATTGACAAGCCAATGCATTTAAGGGCTCCATGGTGACCTTGATCGTAGATTTGACAATGACCTTCAACGTTATTGAAGGTCAAGAGAGGTTTCTTAAATAAAAACCCCTATTTCTGACACCGGAAATTTAAAGAACGAGAAATTTTACCTTCAGATAAATTCCTGTCCATGACCTTGGCTATGACCTTCAAGATCATTCCAGGACGTCCAAAAAGTATGGAGAGAACAAAATATCCTGAAAATATGCTAGCTGGAGAAAAATGTTGCAACGTTGCAAAGTTTAAAAAAGTTATCTAAGCGTGACCTTGAACGTGACCTGGATCACGACCTTGAAGGTTTTTGCTTATCGAGGATTTAGCGGAACGAGAAATTACTGTTCTGGAAGCAAGACTATGAGTATCCAGTTAAAAAAATAATCTATCCTTCGAATGACTTGAAGGTGACAGCCAAGGACATACGAGTGACCTTGACCGTAAACTGTTTCTATTTTTTATATACCGACATAAATTAAGGAGTTTACTTGAAAATGTATCTGACCTTCAAATGAGCTTGAAGGTCATAGTCAAGGTGCCTATCAAGTATATGATAATGACCTTGACCGTGAAATGTTTCGCTTTTTTATATCCCCAACAAAAGGTGAGTTTACTCGAAAATGTAACGGACCTTTAAATGACCTTGAAGGTCATAGTCAAGGTTACGGTCAAGTAAATGATAATGACCTTGACCGTGACATGCTTCACTTTTTTATATACCCGACACAAAGTAAGGAGTTTACTTGCGAATTTATCGGACCTTGAAGGTCATAGTTAAGGTTACGGTCAAGTACATCATAATGACCTTGACCGTGACATGCTTCGCTTTTTTATATCTCCGGCAAAACGTAATGTCTACTTTGAAATTTATCTGACCTTGAAGGTTATAGTCAAGGTTACGGTCAAGTACATGACAATGACCTTGACAGTGACATGCTTCGCTGATTTATCTCTGTCAAAAAGTAATGTTTACTTTAAAATTTATCTGACCTTGAAGGTCATAGTCAAGGTTACGGTCAAGTACATGATAATGACCTTGACCGTGACATGCTTCGCTTTTTAATATCCCTGACAAAAGTAAGGATTTTACTTGACAATTTATCGGACCTTGAAGGTTCATAGTCAAGGTTTCGGTCCTGTACATGATAATGACCTTGACCGTGACATGCTTCGCTTTTTTATATCCCAGACAAAAAGTAAGGGGTTTACTTGAAAATTTATCTGACCTTCAAATGAGCTTGAAGGTCATAGTCTAGGTGCTTATCAAGTATATGATAATGACCTTGACCGTGAAATGTTTCGCATTTTAAGTCCCCTACAAAAAGTAAGGAGTTTACTTGGGAATTTTAGGATCTTAAATGAATTAGAAGGTCATAGTCAAGGTTACGGTCAAGTACATGATAATGACCTTAACCGTGACATGCTTCGCTTTTTTATACCCCCAACAAAAAGTAAGGAGGTTACTTGAGAATTTATCGAACCTTGGAGGTCATAGTCAAGGTTGCAGTGAAGTATATGATAATGACCTAGACCGTGACTTGCTTCGCTTTTTATATCTCCGACAAAAAGTAATGTTTACTTTAAAATTATTCTGACCTTGAAGGTCATAGTCAAGGCTACGGTCAAATACATTATAATGATCTTGACCGTGACATGCTTCGCTTTTTTATATCCCCGACAAAAGTAAGGAGTATACTTGAAAATTAATCTGACCTTCAAATGAGCTTGAAGGTCATGCATATGATAATGACCTTGACCGTGAAATGTTTCGCATTTTTATATCCCCGACAAAAAATAAGGAGTTCACTTGAGAATTTTTAGGACCTTAAAAAGACCTTCAAGGTCATAGTCAAGGTTACGGTCAAGTACATGATAATGACCTTGACCGTGACATGCTTCGCTTTTTTATATCTCCGACAAAAAGTAATGTTTACATTAAAACTTATCTGACCTTGAAGGTCAAGGTTACGGTCAAGTATATGATAATGACCTTGACCGTAACATGCTTCGCTTTTTATATCCCCGACAAAAAGTAAGGTTTACTTGAAAATTTATCGGACTTTCGAATGACCTTGAAGGTCATAGCCAATGCCGTTCAAGTACATGCTAATGACCTTGGCCGTGAAATGTTTCATTTTTGATATCCTCGATAAAAGGTCAGGAGTTGACTTGACAATTTATCCTACCTTCAAATGACCTTGGAGGTCATAGTCAATGTTACGGTCAAGTACGTGATAATGACCTTGACCGTAGAATGTCTCACTTTATATATCTCCGACAAAAAGAAAGGAGTATACTTAAAAATTTATATGACCTTGAAGGTCACAGTCAAGCTTATTGACAAGTGTATACTTGGAAAAAACTTGTCAGCAATTTGCATTCAGAAAATTAAAATAGACGTTTTAAAATTCGGTTGATCTTCAAATGACCTTGATGATCATTCTCAAGGACATGCTTTTTACATTTCCGTTGTCACAAATAGGGATTTTCAATTAAGAAAGCTATCGGTTTATTGTCATTAATTACTGTCATTGCTATTTGTAGTTTGCCACCGTGGTGACTATAACGTGATTAAAAACTAATTCAAACGTATATGGCCTCATTTAGCAATCAGGCAGAATAAGATTCAGGTGTTACATGAATGCATTTGATCCATCAAAAAAATCTGCAATCGACAGATATCGGTAACACCCAATCATAGAAAGACAGAATACGACACTGTCCAATAGATTTTCAGCTTACTACAGGCTGTGTTTCCATTTTATCTTCTTTGTTGTGCGGGGTTCAAACCGCCTAAGATTTTCTTAAAATACGTTCTGCATTCTTTTTATATATTACGGACCATTATATGTGTGATTATTTACAACAGTCGGAATTCAATAAGATCGTATCATCCTATCAATTTATTGGGAGTGTAAAAGTCACTCTAGTAATTAAATTATCATTGTGCTAAGGATTGTTTAATGATTTACTATATGAATGTACTCTAAATACACCATTATTCATGATAAATACATAAATGTAATTTCAAGCATTATGGAATGGGCACAGAAATTCTAATTGTGAAACACTAGATAAATTTTATTCTATACATGCATAAGTATATGTTTTTAAATGTATGCAAAACAGTAGTATGTACGAGCAGACCTAAAAATTGTAAACAATCTTTGAAACGAGATTAAGTCTTCTCGAATTGATAGCTTTAAGAAATGTCGTATTTTTAACCACACAAAGTTATAAACTTATACAGGGTGACTTTGAAGTTGAGTCATTAATTTTCAGATAATGATTGTAGAAGGAAGATAAACCAAAATATGCGTGTAAAAATAAAAAATAAAAATTTTTTTTACCTTGTTTTATAAAGTATCCTCCCGACAAGTATTTCAGTGCGGACCTGTATTTGATCGTGAGGTCTTGGAGCACCGGCATGCAGTCCCCTGTGAGGTCTTAAGTCACCTGATTCACGAGCCCGTTGTACTACATTAACAAAGGCACGAGGGTTTGGTTGCACTCGATTGGGAAACCGATCCGCATAAACATGTGCCATTTTGATTTCGTTTGAGCCACGCAACAGACACCACTATTCACTCACGCGTTACCGACTGACACTGACTGTATACAACTGAATAAAATAATTGTAAAAACATCGTTCCAAATTCTTTCGCTTTTTTGTTTCCGATGCGATGAACCGATAAGGCGGATCATATCCGTTGTTGCCAAACACGAGCACATAATATTATTATTGAGACAGGGCGGTACTCAAACTTCCAAAGGGCTGTAACTTTGTTACTTTAATTTTACCAGAAAAATGGTAAAGGAAAAAAACATTTCTTTTGATCAGATCTACTTACTGTCAAAATAAATGACTCAACTTCGAAGTCACCCTGTATAAGTTCGTTTTTTTCCGTGTATTTCCATAACTCTAGTCGTGAGATCAAGCTGGATTGGAAATTATGCTTAATTAATTTATTCTACACAACGAATTCTGTCCAAATCGAAGGAGCGAGCCTCCGATTTGTTTGTCTCCCAAATCTCAGTCTGTATTCGGGATGAAAGTGAATACTGTAGGTGGTGATTGAATTCGTACTTTTAGCGCTACTTTTTAAAAACTGCAAAGAGCATAACAAGTCTTTCAAATTTCCTAAATGTACAAAGCATCATTCGCGTTCAGCCACCTATAAAGAAAATTGATTTTTATCATAGTTTTGCAACGTTTCTGATTTAGCAACTCAAGCTATCGTGTCTAACGATAGTAACTCTTTGCGAATGAAGTTGGGAGGTATCCAGTCTCTTGGGCAGATGAGTGTGTCGTCCGTATATCTGCACCTCCCTTCCGGAGGTGATCAACCTAACTTTGCACCGATCGTTATCGTGCTTCTTGTTGAAGTAGTTGTTGCAGAGCCATTGTGTCTGGTTCGGTCCCTTTCTGTAAATCAGGAACTCGTGTTCGTCCAAGATGATTTTCGGGTTCTTCATGCCTGAATTGAAGTATATGAGGCCTGGAAAAGACTTTGTTACTAAGAGTAACAATGTACCGGTTGCTTCATTTACCTTGAGAACACAACAGGGGGGGTTATTCGATTGACACATTGGAACACCCACTTCCAAATAAATCTCAGAATGATACTTTTATTAGTAAAACAGCGTTACAGACTAGACAGGGTTTTCTCAAATACCAAGATCATAATGAAAATATAAAACAAAATTCAATCGAAAAATCAGATATAGTGATAGAATCAAAAATACACCACACATGGACAAGATACTCTTAAGGCGTCCTCGGGATTAAGGATACCTTAAGTAGTTATTCTCTAATAATAGTTACAAGCTTCGACATCATATTCCTCAGCCTTTCAGGCGTATTGATGACAGGATGATTGTGAGGATCTTTACTGACGTGAATCACTGTTCCACTGGTCACTAATGACGACCGGCATCGATCTTTCTTAGTTCCGAAATACTGGTAACACTTCCAAACGGTTTTGTTCACTTCCTTTCTGTAGATGCGATAGTCGTGGTTGTCCAATACTATTTTCGGATTTTTCAGTCCCTTGTCGAAGTAAACCAGTCCTGAAAAGGGGATTGGTTATTTGCTTGGAAAATGTATAGATTATATTTACCTGTTTACGATTCATTGAGGTATGTTTTTTATTTAGAATACTAGCTTTTTGTCCCGCGGTTTTACCCGCAGAACTGTGTGTACTATTGGGCAACACACTACAAAATGCGTGACCTACCAATAATCTTCAAGGTCACACCTCATACGCTGCTGTAGAATGTCAGGCGGCCAGCACGTGAAAAGTACTCACTCTCCAGTTGACGAGAATGGCTAAGTACGTCTCTGCCCGAAATCATACCGCTCTAACAGAAAATGAAATCAGCTGATGCGCTACCGAGCAGACGCAGGCAAACAAGGAAGGCAAAATGTTGCGTAAAAAGTCTAGGTATTGCATCCCGTCCAATCGATTTGGGAGAATAAATGGTCCAACGAGCATACCGTTCACTATGCCAGCCCAAACATTCATCGAAATGTTTGTTAAAAATGTGCTCGACGGACAGCGTGCGAAAGTTATGCACCCCATTGCGCGTGAACATAGATTCGTCTGTCACCAATATGCACTTCAAAAAGTCCCGATTATTGTCATGTTGATGCAACAACCACTCACAAAACCGCACTCTTGCTGGAAAATCGTCAGGTTGAAGGGCGTGTACAAGTTGCACGTGAAACGGATACAGCCCCTCTTCACGCAGCGTTTGCCACACTTTAGTTTTTGATACTTGCACTTCTCTAGCCACGTCTCTAGTGCTTGTTGAGAGATTCTTGTCTACGCGATTACCTCTACACGCGTGACCGTAACCGTCGGTTGAAGGTTGCATACTGACCTGACACACTGACCCCGACCCAGTTTTGTCGTCGGGTTGAGCTAGTGTCCTAGTACCACTCGGGGATGTCGCGGCTACAGGACGGTATTCAGATATTTTTGATGTTGCAGAGCCCTTTATCTCGGTTCCCTTAAGACATTGGTGTATATGGTACTAAGAAAAATTGCTTATGTTTTCAAGATCTACACGTCGTGTAAAGGAAAACCCCAACTTTGCGGACACCCTGTATACAGGGTGACTTGTAATGTCACGTATTCCTGTTAAGGGGTGATAGATTAGGTTAAAATCAACCGATTTTGTCCTATCATGTCTTATCCAAAAGTTAACCATTTTTGAGTTATTTGAATTTTAAGTTTTTTATTTTTTATTCCGATTTCAGACGGATAAAATTGAAATACAACAAAACTGCATGCTTGATTCTGAGTTTTTTGATATCGTCGCATAGCAGACATTCCAATAGTTCATAATAAGTAACAAAATGTTGAAAAGCTACAAATGTTTTAAAATTACGCTGTTTAAATGTATTTTTCTTTTTTTTCTACTAACTTATTCGATAAAAAATGCAATTTTCTGTAAAAAATCTCCTAGTAATGAAATGTGCAAAGTATGTAAATAATATCTCTATCTAACAAGCTTTCATTTGAGGTATTAAGCGTTCAATTATCTGAAGTACATGCAGAGAAACAACAATGACACCCACAGAGGCTGGATTTTTAAGGAATTTGTATTACCTGTTTGAACAAGTCGTTACTGTCCTGAAAGGACTCGCATGCTATGATTGTTTTATGGCATCGGCTCGACGAGGAAGCGAGCGAGAAGAGCTGACTTAGTGGAGGAGTGAGTGAGAGAGAGAGAGCTGTTATTATTCATCATTGTAGTTACGCCATCGCCGCACGCCGAGTGAGAATTAGGTTACTTGGTATCAACTACTGCGTACGCGCACACGTTTTACGCACGATTATTATTTTCGAGTTTCCCAGTTCATTTCGAGCGGTTTCTTTATCATCATGGCAGGCGCAGAAGATCCGCCAGGACCTCGCGATAGCGAGCACGGGCAATCTTTTACAAATGAAGAATACGCAGACATAATGTTCTGTTATGGACTTTGTAACGGCGATTCTGCAGCTGCCCGCCGTGAATATCGGCAACGTTTCCCGAATCGCCGAACACCTCATGTTACTGTGTTTGACTCTGTGTATCGGCGCATCCGCCAAACCGGACGTGTTCAAAGGCAACATAGCGATGCTGGTCGACCCAGAGTCTATCCTGCTGAAGATGAAGAGGAAATCCTTCGTGTGTTTCAGGAAGACCCCACTACGTCTACGCGCATTGTGGCTGCTCAGTTGGGTATATCACAATACAAAGTATGGTTACTGTGCATACTGCAAGATGATACCCTTATCACTACACGCAAGACGATTAGATTTTACAGGTACATGTTACATGCAGATACAGAAGATCCAGACTATTTTAAGAAAATTCTGTGGACCGATGAATCGAAGTTTGATAAGGACAGGATCACTAACTACCATAATGCTCATTACTGGGCTGATAAAAAAGCTTTAAACCCCCGAAAAATAAGACCGACGTGGTCTCAGAGCCGGTTTTCAGTCAATGTGTGGATGGGCATCATTGATGGATATTGGACCTCATTTTCTGCCCGCCAATTTAAATGGAGAAGTGTATGAAGAGTTCTTGAAAAATCACTTGTTTCCATTAATGGAAGACGTCCCATTGGCGACGAGACAAAATATGTGGTTCCATCACGACGGCTGTCCCGCACACTACAGTAGATTAGTACGGGCGTATTTAGACTCTAAATTTCCAAATCAATGGATTGGCAGAGGCGGGCCTATTGCCTGGCCAGCAAGAAGCCCAGATCTCACACCGATGGATTACTATGTGTGGGGACATATGAAAAGCCTGGTGTACGATGTTTCACCCGTACCAACGCGCGATGAATTAATTACAAGGATAATCAGCCTTTTATTTATCCTACGTAATTATCGTTCGTACAACTACTACCGACTGACACTGACTGTATACAACAGAATGAAATAATTGTAAAACATCGTTCCAAATTCTTTCGCTTTTTTGTTTCCGATGCGAAGAACCGATAAGGCGAATTATATCCGTTGTCGCCAAACACGAGCACATAATATTATTATTGAGACAGGGCGGTACTCAAACTTCCAAAGGGCTATAACTTTGTTACTTTAATTTTACCAGAAAAATGGTAAAGGAAAAAAACATTTCTTTTGATCAGTTGTATACAGTCAGTGTCGGTCGGTAACGCGTGAGTGAATAGTGGTGTCTGTTGCGTGGCTCAAACGAAATCAAAAATGGCACATGTTTATGCGGATCGGTTTCCCAATCGAGTGCAACCAACCCCTCGTGCCTTTGTTAATGTAGTACAAAGGGCTCGTGAATCAGGTGACTTAAGACCTCACAGGGACGGCATGCCGGTGCTCCAAGACCGCACGATCAAATACAGGTCCGTACTGAAATACTTGTCGGGAGGATACTTTATAAAAGAAGGTAACATTTTTTTTTATTTTTACACACATATTTTGGTTTATCTTCCTTCTACAATCATTATCTGAAAATTAATGACTCAACTTCAAAGTTGATATATATACGTGAGCTGTAATCATTGTCGTCTCAACGACCAGGTAGGTGAGAAAAACCTTCAGCTTCTATTGGGTCCTTCGACAAATTAGTGCAAAGTGTACTCTTGTAACTTTCAGAAGAAACGTACGCAAGATTGTTGCTGAATTTTATTAACTAAATTAACGAAAACACTTAGTAGCGTGATGAAAACTGTTCCCATAGTAGCAGTAGTTAACATTAATAAAATACACATAGCCATGTGTCAAAATCCAATATAACGGATTTAAAAACTTTGTTAATTTTTTTTATTTCTTACAGTAGTAAGAAATAAAAAAATTCGAATCAATCCAAAAGCCTAAAATATTCATCTATGTACTAAATTTCATCCAGATTAGTGGAGCAATTTGGGTCGTAACTCATTTATGACATCAGTAGGGATATTTCCGATGACATCACAGATATTCTGGAAATTTTTCCAAAGGGGAAACTAAATTGTTTTAAGCAATTTATTCGTATAAGTTACAAACCACAACCAAAACTTACTTACCTTGGAAATCAGCCGCAGATTATTTTAATTGTCAATGAAATAACGTTGTATGTACTATGAAGACTATAATTTAAAAACAGTACATGGCGTTTACATTGTATAACCTCTAGAACAACACAATAACTTTTACTAATATATCAGATGGCCATGCCGGAAATCGGGTGAACTACTAGGGATATCACGCTGTCAGGACAAACAAAAAACAATACATACTAAGTGACATATCAATCCGAACACCCAGTTTAAATGGTTTTATTTTAATAAAAGTTGGTGAATGTATCTATCTTACTGCAAATAACAAGTGAAAAAATTTTCAGCCTTATCAGTTGGACATTCCGGTTTTTATACTGTTTTTTTTTTAATTCAGTAACGCTCTAAAATGAATATTTCAGCCGCAGTAAGAATCAACGTTGGCGGATTTTGGTTCTTGACATCCTTTACGATCGGTTACGACGCCTAGAGTACGGAGACCTTTACGATTCGTCAACTTAGTGAGTTTGATAGGGGCCGTATAGTGGGACTTCGGGAAGCTGGACTTTCTTTCGGGCAATTGCAGTTAGAGTGCAAAGAAGGGTAGACACTGTGGTTAGGTGTTGTCAGGCATGGCTTCGAGAAGGCCGTACGCAAAGAGCAAGGGGCACTGGACGCCGCCGTAGAACAACAGACCGTGAAGATCGCCCGCCTAAGATTATTGGCCTTTTTTTTTATTTTTTTTTTATTTGGCTTTAGGACCTAATCCATGCAGCCAGAAACTAGGTTGTTATATTTTACATTTCTAATATGGACAAACACACGACGTCACAACATCCATGGCCAAGGCGAGGATTCGAACTCGCGGCCCGGCCGACCGGCTGATCAGTAGCACGACACTCGACCCACGCGGCCATCCGAGGTCCCATTTTATTGGCCATTATTGGCCTTAAGGGACCGTTTCTCCACTACCAGGTCCATTGCAAATGAATGGTTTGCAGAACACGGAAGACCTATTGGCATGCGAAGTGTTTACCGACGAATGAGAAGTTTTGGCTTGTTTTCATACCGGCCACACTGGGTCCTCCCTTTAACTCGAGAACACCGACCGTAATCGCCTTGAGTGGTGCAGACAACGGTCAATCTGGGATCAGGAATGGAATAGTATGTCTTTAGTAACGAGTCTCGATTTTGTTTAGGCATGCACGATGGTCGTGCCAGGGTTAGAAGGCGACGTGGTGAAAGGAGGAATCCACAGTTTTTTGTTGAAAGACATGTTCATCACACTGTGGAGTTATGGTTTGGGTGCTATAGGTTATGGTTCCAGGTACCTTTAATCTTCATCAGAGGTAACATGAACGCGCAGCGTTATATCCACGAAGTTCTAGAACCCCATCTTTTACCCTATCTTGACACCCTGGCAGATCCAACTTTCCAACAAGATAATGCCGACCACATGTTGCAAGAGTCACAATAGACTTCTTTCAACATAATGATGTCACATGTTACCATGGCCACCAAGATCTCCCGACTTATCCCCAATTGAGCACGTGTGGGATATGATGGGTAGGAGATTGCTCAATTTGCAACGTCCTCCTCAGACTCTAGAAGCACTCGAGAGAGTTGGTGGTTGCCTGAATGAGATACCACAGGAGGACATTGACCACCTGATCAGAAGCATGCTTAGGCGGTTGGAGAATGCGTAGCACATCAGGGTGCATCCACACATATTTAAAGGTCAAAAGGGCTTTTAAAGGCAGTGCAATCATTTGAAATTTTCATCATTTTCTTATTATGCTTCATTAAATACTTATACAAAATTTTATTAAAATTAAACCATTTAAACAGGGTGTTCGGATTTATATGTCACTTAGTATATATAAGCTTTTTAAGTGATCTATCGAAACTTTCCATGTAACCGGTAGGTTAGTTGAATCACTTCATTAACAATGTTATTCAACAAAAATCCGTCAAAAATTATCTGCAATTCCATTCTCACTCTCTGATAATAGTGACCTTTTGCGAGAGCATGTTCTTATACTTGTCCTTCTTCGGAACAGCCGGATGGTTGTGAGTGTCACTGCTGACTGTTACGATCCTCCCTGTGGTCACTAGAGTGGATTTGCACCTTTTCTCCCTAGTCCTGAAGTAATAACAAATTCCAAACGGTTTTGTTGATTTCTTTTCTGTATATCAAATAGTCGTGGTCGTCGAGTACTATCTTCGGGTTTTTCGTCGCTACGTCGAAGTAGATTGTGCCTAAAAAAAGTGGCGTCAGGCAGATTGAATCTATACTCCTCTATGATGCATATTAGTTTTGCAATATGATAACTATACCTATTCACTGCTGCATTTTTGTAAAATGCTTTGAGTCCTGGATTTAAAAACGTTGTCCTTAAATTGCGTCAAGAAAGCTGTTAGTAAGTCTCAAATATGCTGGATCCTTAGTTTAAATATGTTACTCTTGTCTTTGTTGTTAAGTTTTTTCTTGACTTCTCCACCATTTAAAGACGCTTATCATCATATTTTAAGTAAAAAAATAACTGAACTATTTCAATTAAAATATATTCACTCATCTACAAAAGGCAAAAACTTGACATTACATCAGATCCAAACGACAGCAGGGCTCTGTATCTTTCTCGGTTGTTGGTTTTGTTTCTTTATCAAATGTTTCTTCAAATTTGAAATGGAGGTTCTGTAACTAAGTACGTTTCTGCATCGTCTGCATTTGGCTCTCGGCTTCATCTATCATGATGAAATGCTCCCATAAACATGGAGAATGCCTTTTCTTGCCAGGCCCTAAAATAGATAATCAGGCGATGAAGCTGATGTTCGATGTCTTGGGAAGCGTGAAAAATGACGTAGTGCACCATTATCATCAAAACATAAATGTGTTAATTTGATAGGAAATATGTAATTACCAATTTGCTTCTGTACAAGTCACAATACTTTTCACCTTGGAAATATATCGAACGTAAAATTTGACGTTTAACGATGACCTTGAGTGAAAATCATTATAATATTGAGGGTGCTTGTCAAGGTCATCGTAAATAAACATTGTTTGACAAAAATGCAAGGATGTCTCTAAAGACAAAGCAAAAATAGGGTCTGGAATACAGCATTAGTTCTAATTTCGCTGGCTTTTTACTAGTGCCCTTGAAATTGACCTTGTCCATGACCTTGAGGAACAATTCAAGGTGTAGACCTCTTTTTGCAGATACCGGAAATGGATATAACGGAAATAAATAACTTTAAGACATGAATCTGATAAGGTCAAAGTGATGTTCAACCAAGGTCATATGTGAACTTTAAATCTTAAAAGATTCGATTTCAAAAAAAATTGTATTGCCCTTGATTCGACTTCCAGTTCCATGCTCAAAGTCAAATTCAAGGTCATCACAGCATATATAGGGAAATATCCTGAAACTTTACTGTTTTACGTCATTGTAGGTATTGTTCAATATTGTTTGCGATGGATTCAAATATACATGTATGTGCTCAACGTGTAAGCTTTAAGACTGAACTGCCTTTCACGAATGAATGCTAAATTCGCACACGTAGTTCTGCAAAAGCTCACCTCAGTGCAATAAGCATTTCATTTCGCCCCAAACAATAAAAACATGAAGGATCTTGAAAAACGATCTGCATGTACTCGCGAAGCCTCGGTAGCATTTCGAAGACACCGTAAATTAAAATAATGTATTGCAGTATGAATGTGCCATTTTGTTTTGTTTTTTAGAACCGATGACCAAAGGTTTTGTTTACCAACGCGGGCAACGTTTGATCTGGGGCGATAGGTTTTGTTTAGTTTTGATTTATTTTGAGGAGCTTAAAATCATGAAAATCTTGAGACTTTGGTATATGTACGCCTTGTAAATGAAAGTCTCAACTTGGACAAAAGGGATTTCATGGAAAATGGTAACATTATACATGAAAATCGATAAAAAGTAGTTTTTTTATTGGGTAGAAAAAGTGGCAAGTAACACATGGCGCAGGGTGTTAATAATGTCCATGGAAAAAAATTCAATGGGGGAATTGCTTTGATTTCAAGATACAGAGAGTCAGAGTTTTCCGTTTTGTTATTCGTTTGTCAGAAAAATCGTAACAACCTTGTCAATCGAACAATGTTGTTAAAGATTTATGAAATATATCAGGAAAACGGATCTATCGCTAAATACTTAACAACCCATTAGCAGTATTTATCAAAATCGGCTGTTTTTACGAAAAAATGGAGTTTTGTCAAATGAAGATTGGCAACCTGTACCATAAAAGAGAAGCATTTTCGAACCCACCTTTATATCAACGTCTTTTCTTGAATTTGAATAATAAATCACCCCTTGGACTTTAGCCAGGTACTTTATTAACACCCCTGTATATGTATGTTCAAAAATCCCCCTATTTACAGAACATCCTGAAAAATCGATTAGGCTACTATTCTAAGTTTATTCCCATTTAACAAGTATAGACTTCTTCAATTCCACCACCGGCTTTCCAGTGGTTTTGCTGTTAGGATGCCTCCTGTTCAAATGTTTCTTCAAATTTGATGTAGTGGTTCTGTAGCTCAGCTCGTGGCCGCAAAGTTTACATTTCGCTTTGCTCGTCAAATCATCCAGTATCCTGAAGTACCTCCACAGAGGGGATCTTTTTTTGCCTGAAAGTGACAATGAACTAATTTTTCGAAGCAAAAACACTTGTCGAATGTCCTGAAAGGTGTTCGTTGTGCATCTAAAGCTCAGTATAGGGCCAGAAAAATCAATCTGGCTTACCTGATCCAATAAATTAGACAATTTTTTAACCTTGAAGGAGTTTAATTTAATGTGGTCGTGTAAACAAGCTATTACTCGATTTAAAATTTTTGGTTAAAAAGTTGTCCTCTTGACAAATCTTTTAGGATTCAAAAATTGAATAATATACAGGGTACAATGGGAAGTGCCACCATTTTGAAAACGTTTTAGGCGAATTCCACCCAATAATTATTATAGTATATCAAAATTTGCATAGCGTCAACTTTTTAGTGATCTATCGTGTCAATCTATACAGAGTTGACTCTACGTATTCAATTCAAAAACGATTACTCATCACATTCACACCTCGAACAAGTGTCCATGTAACCAGTAGGTTAGTCGAATTCACTTTATTAACAACGTAATTCAACAAAATGTTCGTCAAAAATTATCTGCAAGTTTCCTTCTCACTCTCTGATAATAGTGACCTTTTGCGAGAACATGTTCTTATACTTGTCCTTCTTCGGAACAGCCGGATGGTTGTGAGTGTCACTGCTGACTGTTACGATCCTCCCTGTGGTCACTAGAGTGGATTTGCACCTTTTCTCCCTAGTTCTGAAGTAATAACAACATTTCCAAACGGTTTGTTGATTTCTTTTCTCTATATCAAATAGTCGTGGTCGTCGAGTACTATCTTCGGGTTTTTCGTCGCTACGTCGAAGTAGATTGTGCCTACAAAAAAATGGCGTCAGGCAGATTGAATCTATACTCCTCCATGATACACATATTAGTTTTCCAAATATTATAGCTATACCTATTCACTGCTATACGTATATACTTCGAAGTTGAGTCATTTATTTTAACAGTGAGTAGACCTGATCAAAAGAAATGTTTTTTTCCTTTACCATTTTTCTGGTAAAATTAAAGTAACAAAGTTATAGCCCTTTGGAAGTTTGAGTACCGCCCTGTCTCAATAATAATATTATGTGCTCGTGTTTGGCGACAACGGATATAATCCGCCGTATCGGTTCATCGCATCGGAAACAAAAAAGCGAAAGAATTTGGAACGATGTTTTTACAATTATTTTATTCATTTGTATACAGTCAGTGTCAGTGAATAGTAGTGTCTGTTGCGTGGCTCAAACGAAATAAAAAATGGCACATGTTTATGCGGATCGGTTTCCCAATCGAGTGCAACCAACCCCTCGTGCCTTTGTTAATGTAGTACAACGGGCTCGTGAATCAGGTGACTTAAGACCACACAGGGGACTGCATGCCGGTGCTCCAAGACCTCACGATCAAATACAGGTCCGCACTGAAATACTTGTCGGGAGGATACTTTATAAAACAAGGTAAACATTTTTTTTTAATTTTTTTTTATTTTTACACACATATTTTGGTTTATCTTCCTTCTACAATCATTATCTGAAAATTAATGACTCAACTTCAAAGTCACCCTGTATATTCACTTAGAAAAGGCAAAAACTTTACATCACGTCAGATCCAAACGACAGCAGGGCTCTGTATCTTTCTCGGTTGTTGGTGTTTCTTTATCAAATGTTTCTTCAAATTTGAAATGGAGGTTCTGTAACTAAGTACGTTACTGCACAGTCTGCATTTGGCTCTTGCTTCATCTATCATGATGAAATGCTCCCATAATGGAGAATGCCTTTTCTTGCCTGTCCCTAAAATAGATAATCAGGCGATGAAGCTGATGTTCGATGTCTTGGGAAGTATGAAAACTGACGTAGTGCACTGTTATAAGCAAAACATAAATGTGTTAATTTGATAGGAAATATTTAATTACCAACTTACTTCTGTACAAGTCACAATGAAGACGATTTTTTTTTAAATAGGTCTCTGTAATCCCCCATAGCAAAAAAGTGAGCTTTTAAAATGCATTCATATTGAGCCTTTTTGAACATATTTGGGTGAACATTATTTTGATCATGAGGATCAAGGTTTTCGTAAAAAACGCCCGTTTGAAAAAAATTTAGGAATCATTCGGAGATAAAGTTAAAATGAGAACGGCAGAAAAAGTTTCAGTTTTTTTCTGGCTATCCAGTGATCAATTTCCAACTGCGCTTTCACCATGATCTTGATATTCAAATCAATACCAAGA